ATACCTGTATACATGGGATTGTACAGGCTGATTGCTCCATACTATGTTTCTAAATTTAAGCAAAACTTCAAAATGTTTGTCTTGCTACTGATTGCTGTCTGTATTCAAATCTTACCTCTTCTTACATATATTCACCTTTTATATGGTGTTATACTTCCTAACAATAAGGGACTTTCCCAAAATTACAATAGAATGCAGATTAAATTTGAGGGTAGTAAGCTACCTAATGTGTCCTCACCTCTAATGGAGACAAATCCATCACAAGTTTCCTCTTAATAAATACTGGTTTTCTGTGTTCAAAAGGGAGCTTTGAAAATTTGCTTATGCCTTGATGGTGAATATTTACCTAAATTCTAGATGATTGTTATATTTAGACATTAAAGTATGACATGGCAATAAATGAAAATAGTGCTTTAGTAAACTGTAACAGAATATATACAGGAAGTAAACAAAGTAGGTTCCTAATGCTTTTTCAGGTAATCTGGATGTATTCAATAACAGTTTCAAAATTTCTAGCCCTTGGTGCCAAGTTCTGTTGCCATCATAGCTGTGGTGTGGGTGGAAGAGCCCAACCAGAAATGAGCAGATCTAACTGTAAGCTACTTTGCATGTTGTCAGTTGACTATAAATTGCAGCAGTCATTGACTCAGCGGAACAAGCGACACAATTCAGGTAAGAGACTTGCATGTTGCTGTATCTAGCCAAGATCTTCACTGAATATCAATGTTTTTGTAAATCACTTCTACCAGCCATTCACTAACAATGCTTCCATAGCTCTTTAATGAATCTTGTTTAATATGATCTCTTATTTAATAAGGTGTAAGAAAAATGGAACATTAATTTCTTTTTTTTTAAATATCATTCAGATATTTTCAGGTGTTCATCACTCTTAAAATAGCACGTCTTGTTTCCTTGGATTTTACTTCCATCTGAAGATTGGTGAGTCTGTGGTCTAAGAGGAAAATGTTCCTAACACTTGAATTTTGCACTTTGTACTGGTAGTAAGGCAGCAGGTAACTGTTTTATGTAATGCTGTTGTCCAGCAGAAGTGTCAGTACTAAGCAACAAATACTGCAAGTATCTCTTCTTGAGGAGTTGTGTCGGTTTTGATTTCTTGCTCTGTAATGAAGTTTTGCTGTAAGTTTTTTGTTTTGCTATGTAGCAGACTTTTTCCTCAGACTATTTTTAAGTTGTTAGCAGTAGAAAGTTTTTAGACAATAACCTAAGTAGAAGAAGGAAAGATGACTGGCTACTGTTTTGATTTTACAATGAGTGTACATTCACCTCTGATTTCTTTGCATGCATACTAATGTGAAATGGATGTGTGTTCATGCTTTCAGCCTACCTACAGAAGTACCTGTTTAAGGTGCATGTGACTTTCACTCATGTCTAACAGCACACTATAAATGAATTCTTAATTCATAGGATTTCTGTCGTGAAATCTATGTGCACTAGAAAAAGAGACAACACTGAGTTCAGAGGCATTTTCATAGAATATGTTGAGAGGACAGGCCCACACTGAGTAAAAAATTCTCTCTGTATAAACATGGCAGGTATGAAGTCGTTAGAAAACATTACAGTATCCCCATATCCTTGTGAAGGATTTAGGGGATCCCATTTATGTTATGGAGCTGTGATTGGAGCATTTGAAGCTTTGCAAGGTTTTTGTGAGTATGGAATCTAGATGTGTCTGGTAACCTAGCTGAATGTTCATTTGTGGTTTCCATTTTAGAGGATGTAATATAACTTAAGTGCTTTAGACAGCAATGTACAGATGTGCAAGTGGATGGTGAGTAAGAACATTTTTGGATAAATTCTGTGTAGGCAAGTATTGCCTTCAAGCTGTAAGGATGGCTCACAGGAATTCTTTAAAAATTAACTAGTAATTTCAAGTGTATTTTAAGTAGCTATTAGGTGACAGTCATTACATTATCAGCACCTATGCTGATATTTAGCTGTTTGAATAATGATATTGAGAAGACACTACAATGTAGCTTCCTATAAACCATTGCAAGATTATCTTTGTGATAAATCTGTAAGGGTGATTTAAGTAGTTACATCTGCTATAATGCTGCTCTGAAGAGAGGATATGGGGTTTTAGTAGGCCACTCTGAGTCAGAGCAGTGCCCCAACAACTGTGTGCCGTCCTTTCTTAGTATTACTAGGACATATATTTTTTCCTTTAATATTGATTATTTGTATTTATTATAGTCCTCTATCAATAGGACTGTATTTAGTATTTCATATCTAAGTTTAATCTGCAGGTGAGTGCAGGAGGAGCATGAGGACCCAAGGAGATGTTAGGCTTAGCAGACATTCTCTCTTCTTTCTAAATTCTCTAAACTTCTTTTAAACCTTTTTATGTTGAGTGGATGTAATACCTGACAGACATGAAACTAAGATTGAGATAGCACAAGCTTTCCATCTATTTAAGATAGTATGGTGAATGAGACATCAAATGAACAGAGGGAAAAAAGTCTTTGAAGGCTTTTTGGTATGAATAGGGAGTCTTTTACTGCAATTGTAGATATAATTTTTTTCAGGAGGAGAAGGGGGTGGAGAGAATGTCTCAGATGTTGGCCTGCTTTGTTTATTGTCTACAGACATGTAAGTTTTGGTGGATTTGGAGCAAGCTAGACTGATGTGGAGTACGTAGATAGATTCTCTTAATTTCTAAATCTGAGGTGAAAGGAGACTGCTTGCTCTTTCCTGTTGTGAATTATTTTAATCAGTGTTGTTGACTTACACTTCCTGTTTTTTCAAATGGCAAGTTGTTTGTTCTATCTAATGATCTTCTAACACCTTTCTGAAATGTCACAAATGCATTCAAAATCTCTTCTGGAAAATGCCAGTGAGGCCGAGTGTTGGTAGGTCTGCATGAGGTGTTTTTATTACTGTTCAGTAAGAGTTGTTTAAACTGTTATGTAACTGTGTGTTTACAGGTTAAATGCAGAACCTGATGGATGGCAAAAGCTACTGTAACCTCATCTGTACTGAGACCCAGCGCATACAACTGGCCCGGCCTTTCTGTGCCGACCCACTGGTCACATTCCACGTGCACCCAGAAACACCAAACCAGGTCACGTGCTGTGAGGATTTGTCGTTCCTTCCTTTCATGTCTGAGCATCTCATCACGGAGAACTTCTACAGTGAGCCCTGTACCTTTCCCTACCAAATGCCCCATTCCAATTTCCACAGAAGTGAGTACTCCTATGGGCCAGCTTTCATCAGGAAGAGGAATGAGAGGGAAAGGCAGCGGGTTAAGTGTGTCAATGAAGGCTATGCTAAGCTGAGGCATCACCTGCCGAAGGAATACTTGGAGAAACGGCTCAGCAAGGTAGAGACACTCCGTGCTGCAATAAAATACATTAGGTACCTGCAGTCTGTTCTGTACAGTGATTCCGTGGTGGCAGGAAAAAACATCATGGAGCCAAGCCAAGCGCCTAAAGCAGTTAACAAACAGAACCAGTTTTTGCAGGCGATCTAAAGTGTTCCAAACCAAGCAAAAAGTACCACGTCTGGGAACATAGTAGCCACTCCATTAATGACGTGCGTGTTCCTGGCACATCTTGGGAGCAGCTCGGAGCACACGTCAGTGTCAGCCCACACAGGAGCTTTAGTTTTGCAGATAGTAACTAAACTTAGATACGAAAAAGACCACTGGGAAAATCTCAGCTGAATGACCTAAGTTAATTCATGAAAATCAGGAAGCGTTTCTAAATTTGTCACCAAGCTAAAAATGTAGCACCTATATGTGTGAAGTAACTGTATGTATCATCACAATCTGCATGCTTTAAAATAAAATCTTTCTACTGATGGGACTGAGATTCTTCTCATTTTTTGTAATGTTACTGATTTGCTCTCACATACACTTTATTAAAAGATTCATGATTGCCAATGCTTCTCTTAAAAGACCCTTTTAAAGGTTCCAAGGAGTGTTGTTAGATGCCAACAGAAAGAATAGCTTAGTTTAAAAGGGAGAAATAAAGTAGGGTGGCAGCTTTCTGCAGCACAGTTACTGAACACAGGAAGATCATCAAGTTTTGCATGTGCTGTTTCATTGTTTTCTTATTAATGAATATTTAAATCACATTGAAAACTATTGACTTAGCCTAATACTGGTTTAAAATTGGATTCTTATTCGGATGTCACTACCCTTAAAAATTACTAGAACTGCTCACCCGATACACTACATAAAGAAGGCTGGGAAGGTCTTGGCTATGGGGAAAAAACAAGTGTGCAACAGAAATTTTTCAGGACTTTGACTGATAATGGTTGAGGTCTGGGGTGGTCTTCTCCAGCCTCCCAGTCTGTTCCTCTGTACTATTGATGGTTTCAGTCAGGTGTTGTAGAATAGATTTGTACGAAGATGATGAAGAGTTTAGCTCACAACTGGTAAAAGTGTTCTTAACATTTGCTCTGCGTAAGGGGATCGTATTATTGATATTGAGCAATTCTGCTGACAGCACCAGAGCATGTAGTGTGTGCAGCAGAATGCACAAAAAAATGGTTGCAGACTTCTTAAGTGATGTATCCTTCTCTCTAAGTGCACTCATCTCCCTGTTACATTGTTTTTATAGCAGTGAATTGGAAAATGCCTACAAAAGGCAATTAAGCATTCCAAAGACACACTCTCCAAAAAAACCCACAAACACAAAACCAAACAAACGACAAATCAAACCCCAGTTGTTAACTCTGCTTTAAGGGGGAAATTAAGATTAGGGGTCACAGCAGAGATTAACAGGTGGATTTCTGCTTTATATTCTGTCACGTTTTTGATAGACATGTTGTGGGAAAGGGTTAGAATTCGTAATCCTTCCCCTTTAGTGCAAAGGGGGAAAGTTGTAAAGCTATTTGACTTTGGTTTATCTCAGCTTCAACCTTTCTTTTCATATTTCAAAGCAATTTACCTGTCATGCCCTGTGGTGGCAGGCTTTTTTTCCCCCCTTAAATCTGAATTGTAGCTTTGATGCTGTTTTTATCCTGCGAGAGTAGGCCTAGAGGACACTGAGCTCTCTTATAATCCCTTCTCTGCCCCTGCAGTCTTTCAGTGCAGTACCTAAATCCACGTGAACACTGAGCGAATGTGTGGCAGACAAACAGTCCTCTCAGTACTCCTGTTCCACTGGTTTTTAAGTAGTAAGGTCAGGATGTCCAATCCTGGAAGTAACAACTATGGCAACCTCCATAGCAACCAGGAAACACTGGCAGCAAAAGGCTTCCTGTGTCCAACGGGCAAAAGGGCAAGATTTCTGCACTCAGACTAAATCCAAACTGACCAGATGCACTGTTACCAGTAGCTGGTAAGTTTGAAACTCTGCTGTGTCAAACTATTTAGAGTTATCCAGAAAGAAAATCTCAAAATATAGTGTAGTTACCTTTGTCAGTGAGCTGTTTTGTACAGAAATAGGGGTCCCTGCCCTCAGCAGTAACAGTGCTGAATGGTAGAAATGATAGTTGCATTTCTTTGCTAAGTATTACTGATTCTGTCCTGTTTTGGTTTTATAAGGGGGGGTGTGTCTGTATAGTTACGAAACAATTGGATGTATTGTGTTGATTTGCTGACTTAAAGATGCATTCTGCAGCAGTTAACCCACTCTTCTTGCTGGGTTTGCTCTGCTAGTTTTCTGAAATTATGTATATCTGGGAGTCTCCACACAAAAGACTTCCATATGATATTTCTTAGATAAGAGACAAAATATCTAAACAGGAGTTTATCAAAATATCTAAACAGGACTGCTTAAACTGCATTTTGTAAAATAAAGCACTTAAATTTTATGTTGTTGAATTTCCATGCGAATTTTACCCTAAGCATGCTAAATATTTCTAAGCAATGTTAAAAAAAAAAAAAAAAAGGAAAATGAATGGAAGCTTGTCTACTACATCTTTTTAAATTACCAGAGATAGCATCACATCATTGATCTTACTGTGACAGCCTCTGAATAGTTATCACTTGTCACATCTGAGCATCTCATTCTTTCTCATTGCAAGCCATAATCCTGCTGTTATAAAACATGACAGGACAGCTGAAAGATCAAAATATTTCCTCTTAATACATCACTATAAATAAATAACAGGCAATGGTAATCTAACATCACATTCAGAAACTGTCACGTTTACTCAGCTTGTCAACTTCAGCTGTAATTTCTGTCTCAGCTTGTAAAACAGCGAATGTTTGGCTGGCACTGTGTACAAGAAAGCTTTAAAGGAGAGTGTAGGTATAAGAAAAGAGAGCTGGATTTTACAGAGGAAAACAAATGTTGGAGGGAGGTGAAAGTTATTCTTTTTCTGAAGATTTTCATAGGATTTGTCATTTCCCTGGGTGTTTCTGTCCCTCTTCCAGGTCGGGGTTTGGGTGACTGAAGATCACTGAAGGCAGTGATATGGGTTCATCTGACCAAATGCCAGTCTGAATATTCTGAATTCACTGTTTTTAAATAAAAATAAACAACTAGTCAAAATTACTGAGTTCTTGAGGTACACTGGAAGGCATTTCTTTGTGTTAGAAATGCCAGTACTTTGTCTCTTTTCTACAGATCACGACTGAGTCCTGCAGGTATCTGCTTTTGCAAGAATGGCTCATTTGGAAGGGTTCCTGCCTCCGAGTCACAGGTATTGCAGTGTGAGGCCAGCTCTGGACAAGTTCTCGCGTTCCAGCACTGTACCTGCCATTAACCCCACCTGCAGGAGCTCTTTTGTAGTGTATCCTGCCTGGATCGCTGAGCCCCTCACCTCCCAGAGGTAAAATCAATTCCTGTTTGAGACTGTCATTTGTTTTTTTCCATGATATCTAATAGGATAAACCAGGCTGGTGTGTCAGATTAATAAATTAGCAGTTTGAACATCATTTGGGCTTTTCCACCCCTGCACTGGCAGTTTTTTAGATGGTGTTAACTGAAGTAATTTGCTACCTTGGAGATTATGAAAAGCAAAGCCTGAGTAAGCCTCCTATCAAAGAAACATTCCTATAATATTATTTGGATAAATGAAAGCATCTTGCATTAGCAGCTGTCTTCTGTGAAATGTTTCTAATGCTTTGTGACAGAGGATTATTTTTCAAGTATTGAACTTGAACCTGTCATCAATCAGCAGCTTGGTTGTTTACTTCTCTGCTTTGCTGTTCCCTGAATGCTTCAGTGTAAACCATCAGCTACATTATTCTCAAGCACGCCTACACTGTCCTCTGTGCTGGGGAAGGGTTGCATTGTCTCACCATGTAAACAGCAAAGGGATAGTGCAGGTATTCCTGGCTCAGGATTCCAGCAGACTGCTTCCTCTAAACCTAAAACCAAAGAAATCTGGGTAAAAGCAGACACTGATATGTTTTTCCCAAGAACAAGGAACTGTCCCACACAGGCAAGTTTACTGTTTCTTCCCACATTCTTTGGCCTGTGAGAGTGGTAGAAAATGAGATGGGGCATTCCAGTTCTTAAATCTTAAAAGGGTTTTTTTTTCATGACCTGCAGAAGCTGTTTCTCTCACTGCTGACCCATTTTCTTTTCTTCAAGGTGCCAATGGATTAGCCACTGCCTCCACTCCCCCTGCCTGGCATGGGAGAGACTGGGGACATCTGTGTGCATAGACAGCAACGTGCCTGTGCTGGTGAGAAGGGAACAAGATGGATTTTATTACCATGGTACAGTAAAAGAGGAGATAGAGGTGAGCAATGGTACAGTAAAATGGGTGTGAGTAACAGGAGCAGTCCTCACACACCACCTGAGTTCAGTGTCGCAGTTTTGGTTTCAGCTGGTGCATGAACTAGAGAACAGATCACCAGGACAGCTGGAGCTTGTGGTTATGATAAAGCTCCCAACATGCCTGATTCCAGGCTGTTCCTTACCTCCTGCTGCCTGACAAGCCATGTGAGCCTCTTGTGTGCAGCACAGCCTGAGGCACCAATAAACCAATGATGGTCGGAACCGTGCTCTGCTCAGCCCCCTTTGCTGAGTCCATCTCTAGCAGTGAGCAGGTGTGTTGCAGGGATCCTCATCTTATGCAGAAAATGGGTGCCCCACAGACTCCCAGTTCCTGGTGAAAGCAGTGTTGTTATGCACCTTGGAAGAGCAGCCCTCTGCCTCTGCTGGTGCTGGGCACTGAGCCAGGCTCAGACAGCCTGAGTGCCGTTGCAAGCGGTGTACGGGCTGCTGTTGTGTGTACACACATAACCATCAATAGCACAGGAAAAGGGGTAGTGTTTTGTGTACACACATCCACCTTGAGTCAGCTACAGACCAATGGCTTGGGGTCTTTCCAGAAATGTCAGTGAAAGCTTTAATTCATTGGTTTGTTAGCACTTCAAACTTTAACACAAAAAAGAGCCTATTCTTTCTCAAGAACAGGGAAGTGCCTCACTTCATTGTTGATGGAAAGCCTCTTGACAGGCCTTAGTGTAAAAGAAAATAAAATTTCCCAACAAACCCCTCAAGAAGCAGAGTTAGTCTTGTTTGTAATGAGGAAGACTTAGGCACAACTTAAGAACAGGTCTGAAAGGCTTCAGTGTCCCTTGTTACTTGGCACACATGGTAGTGTTTGTGAAATCCAGTTACGCTTGTCTATAGCTTTTTCTCTTGGGAAAGAAAATACAGATCCTAGTGGCAGTGACTCTATACATATGCTTTGCTCATCCTGCTTTCTGGGAGCCTCTTAAAGATTTTTCTGGCCATCTCAGTGCTGGACTAACACCACACACTATTTAGCTACTGTTCAGGCTTGGTTTGACCTAGTCACATAGGCATAGGATGGCCTCCTACTGAGGGTTACATGACCTGACACATTATAGAGTGTTTTTCAGTGGAACTGCTATTTTGTTCTCGGTAACAGAGTGAAAGAGGCATCTTCCTGGTAGAGTTTGCCAAACCACCTGTGTCCCGTGGAGACCATCCAGTGTGTGTGCAAAAAACAGCAAAGGATGACATTCTGGAGTATGTGAATGGGATGAAGCACTCCTTACTCCCTGGAGACAAAGTACTGGCACCCTGGGAGCCAGATATGGCCAGGTATGGCCCAGGAACCGTCCTCACAGGCATTGAAACAAGGGACCCCTTACGAGGTAAGAAAGATGTTGCCCTCTCCCTTCTCGTCTTGCTCTGGAACATGTGTGAGACTGTTGGGATAAACTCTTGTCACGATAAACTCTTGTCACTGTGCAACTGCCAGAGGAATAACAGTGCACAGAGTACAGTTTAGTGTTGCTTAGAGCTTACAGGAGCTGATGGGACTTGCTGGTGGATATCTGTGTGTAACCTTATCAGTCTGACCCTAAGGAAGTTGCGACCCATAAAAATGTCATCTGTGTCCGTGGGTGTTGCTGGGACAGGGCTGTGTCTGCCATGTGCAGGACTGTGGCCTTTTCACAAGGAATACAAATGAGACAACTTTCAGGAAGCATTAATCTGATCTTAAATGCTCACATTTGTAACAAATGGTACATCTGGGGGTGATTTTATCACCCAAACATAGGAGATTTCAACAGCTCATTAATTTTTCCCACATTTGACAGTCAAGCTCCACTGACTTACCAAAATACTTTTCTCAGAGCATTGCTGCTAACTTTGGCAGTAAAAACAAAGATTACTCAGTCAACAGTTTCTTGTTCATCTGATGACGAATTGAGAGGAAAGATGCTGCCAGTCCTGTGTTTTAATGATGGTGCCCTAGCTGCCCACTCTACCCCCCCAACATTATAGTGAGATGCTTTAGAGGGGTGATGGTTGATCCTGCTGCTTGACAGAAGTAGAAAGTGTACAAAGCTGAAAAGCCTGATCTGTGTATGTGCACTGCCCAGGCAGGCCAGCTGCTTATGGCTGCTTACTTTTTCTCTTAACAGCCTCAGAAGATGAAGAAATTACAGTCCAGTTCTGGAATAATAAGAAAGTGAAACTCCCACGTAATGTGGCTCTGTGGATCCCTCTTGGCCTGTGGGAGAGGACTGTAGAGATGATCCACATGCCCTTCACCAGCAGGCTGAAGTCCAGAGAAAGTCCGGATGCTGGCTCTTGTATTTTTCCCTACAGTCCTAAACCAGCCCTCATTTCTGTTTATGCTGGACACAGCCTTGCCAAGCACTGCTTGCTCTGCTCACCCTGCTGGCCACATTTCCACTACCACTGTGGTGGTGGTTTGTGCTGTTTGTCAGGATATGTAAGGTGCATCTGCTGCTGTCACCCCCATGCTGATGCCTGGCGGTCTCTTCCATCCAGGTCTCTGGTTTTTCAGAACAAATCTGAAGAGGCAGAGTCCAGCAGTGAGCCCTCTCCAGGCCTTCTAGAACTGGAAGGCACAAAACAAGAAGCAGCTGCAGCTGTGGCTACATCTTCCTCCTCTTCTGATTCAGAGTCGGACCTGAAGCCACTCCCCACTGGGAGTACTGTGGTGGACAGTGCTGTTAACACAGCCTGTGGCTGTCTTGAAAAGCCCAGGCTAAAGGATTCTGCAAGACCTCAGTGGAAATACTGGAAAAGAAGCCACCACAAGTCACATTCCAGTAATTCAGGTACCTTTTAACACTCCCACAGAGAAGCAGCAGTCAGAGGGAACAAAACCAAATGTTCTCTGGGCAGGGCAATCACTTTGCCTGTAGGTTATTGGTTATTGGTATTAGTACTGTAAATTTGCATGTCAGTCTCTGATATAATACTTCCCCCTCCCCAATGTTTCTGCTGCCTCATCTGGCATGGTAGCTCTTCTTTTAGCAACTCATCTCATGGAAAAATACCACAACAGTTAATTTCATTAACCTGCATAGCTAGTCCATGCTGAACAACCCGGAAGAACTTCTTTCAGGCTTAAATTGCATTTTCTGTCTTCTGAAACAAATGATTCTCCATTTCAGTTCTGGTTTTACTCTAACACACAATTTTACTCCTTCCCAGGACTTGGCAGTTGCAGCAGTGCATGTACAAAGGACAAGCTGGAATCCAAAGCCATCTCCATTGGGGACACATCCCGTGTGGCCCCAGCTAATCGGAGTGCAATGTTTGAAACCATTGAGCTGTCTCCCAGAGGGCAACTCACAGTGAAAGAAATCTTAAGAGACCAAGATTTCAAGCCATCACTGGAGGTAAGGTAATCTGTGTTAATAGTGTAGTTATGTAAGCATGAGGTTTGTTTGAATGGAAAAGATATTCTTGTTAATGGTCTGGGAGCTGGTAAGAAAACTACGTTTTCTAACTTAACTGCTTGCTAAGGCCATCCACCTGTTTTGTGATAGGTAGGAAACTTCTCCACTAACAGGAAACAAAAATCCCCAAACCCTAAGGAAGGGCTGAAGTTACTTGGTAAAATAGAACCGATTATGGCAGTAACTGTGTGAGCATTCAATAATGCAGAGTTCAGTTCAGAAACCTGCCAAATGCCCATTGACAGCAACTCAATGAAGTCCTATGGAAGTAGAGACCTACATGAGCAGCCCTAGAAATGGACAGATGTGACTGTCAGCAGCAACAGAACACAAGGAAAGACTCAACCTGGAAAGGTGGTGAGCTCTGCCAGTCAGATTCTGATTGTCACAATCTTTGTCTCTGGAAGATAAAAGCAGATCATTTAGTAAACAGTTTCTTCTCTTACTCCCTTGCAAGAAGCAAGCGGTTTAAACAGCAGATCCCTACCCTAAAGCTGGGGATACAGAGTAAGCAAACTGTGTCACAGCTAGGAACAAGGACAACACCCTGGTTTTTAGGCCTGGTTTCTGTTGGCCATGATCCCTCCTGCTTTAGAAAAACTTGGGAAAAAAAAATCAGAACATGAATGCTAAAAAAAGCAAGCACAGAAAAGAGGAAGAAAAGAGGAAGAAAAAAGCTTACAGGAAGAAGTGGAAGATGAAAGAGAATGTCAGCACAAGAGCATCTGGGGTACAATTAATAAATTATATATCAGAAATCAAATATTAGCTCCTCTGTACCTTCAAGCTCTTGCTACTGTGAGCTGACTCCAAAAAAACTTTGAACATTCTAACCTTGTACATTTAGGAGAAGATGAATCTGTTCATGATATGTCTTACTGAACAGAGAATATACTGGAAGACATCTTATATTCTCACAATTATATGCATTCATTTTAAGCAGATGCTCACCAACTTATTAACTGTATGGTTCCTACTTTCTATTTCTATTCTACTTTATTATTAAAATAATCATAATTACACACCTTTTTAATTGATTTCCTAGGAATTTACAAGCTAATGTGGAGCTTCAGGCAGACATGCTGTATGTTAGCAAGTGTCACAGCTGTGCACTGAAGTGACATGATTTGCCTTTTGGTAAAACTAATAAGAAAACAGAATTGTTTAATTCTAGCCCCAAACCAGCAGTGGGTACAATGTGGTAATACAGAGTATAAATGACATCCTTTTATTCCTGTAAAATAGCCCTTGGTGATTTTAAACCTAGAAGATACATTGGTGCTCTTTGAGATAGCTGAGGCAGTTTTATCATGTGGTACAGACTGCATCAGAAGTGACTTGCAACAAACAAGTGAAGCTAGACCATAGGCTTCCCAGAGGTGCTCTCTGGGGGGCTGATGTCCTCTCTCTGCAGTCAACAACAATCCTCCTAACTTCTAAAGCAGCGAAGTTTTTCATCAAAGCCTAACATCTTCTGAAAATCCTTTGGTCTTACTGTACAATTCTCTGTTTCAGCAGTAAAGTTTATACTAGCACAGAAAATATACCATTGTTAAGGCTACGTGAGGCAGAGGTACAGCCAGGAAAGCAGTGGTTAACAAAGACACTGATGCTTTTTTTAGCCTAGATTTCCAAGGGATTTGTTTTCTGCCCTCCAGGAAGAAGGTTTTGCAGCATCAGAAAAACAAAGAAACAAAAGAGCGTCAGATGATAAATGTAAAGCGACTTGCGTGGGCGACGACAAACTTGATGTTATAGAGCATGTCAGAGCTCACTTGCAACAAAGCAGAGAGAGACATGATCAACCAGAATTCAGCACACGTACAACTGATGAAGTCCAGGGGCTGAAATTTCAGGTAAACTGCTTATACTCTATCAGTGTTATACTTATTAAGCAAATCAAGTTCTGATTTAGGTACTGTCTCAGTAGAATATCTTTATGGATGACTACATTTTTAATACTGAGAAACTCTATTTCTACCCACATCAAACTTCAGCATCTTCACTCTTTACTCCAAGGTGTGATATTAAATTCCTAACTACTTGAACTTGACTTTACAATTCTAGAGAGATCAGATGAACTAATATGAGCACTAAAAGCCTGAACAGATGCACAGCAAGAGTCCAATAAACCTCCAATTTGCCTACAGTTCTCTAGAGTGAGCCAGAGGAATTCAGGAAAGCAATTTTTGTTAGTAGAAAGCCAGAAGGAATGCAGAAACAATACAAGTTGACAGCTGAAAGTAGTTTTTTCAGGATTAAAGCAGAAGACAAAGTAGCCAGAGGGTAAAAGACCTGCTACTGTAGAAACAAATAACAAAATACTTAGAGATCCAGCATCCAAGTCACTGAATTTTATGTTCAAATGAAAATTACTGAAACCTTAATACATCAGCTACAAAAAGATGACAGATCTATATAGGTCACATCACTAATTCTAAACATGGAACCTGATCCTTTGGGAAAGTAAAGCATTCAGGGAATTTTGTTAGCAGGACTGCTCATGTTTAAAGCATATGAACTTGTCCATAAGCTGCAGTCTGCAGGTACTCACCAGTACTTTTCCTCTGCAGGAAATAGGATAATTCAGGGTACCCTGCTGCCCTCAGAAAAGGCAGCTAACTGGGGTTGAGCCTGCTCTGCAAAGGGACAGGACTTGAGGGGTCAATAATTTATGTGCCTGTACTGAACATCTGACATATATTCAAGCACCTTTCTGAGCTGGGGTCCTAGGTAGTGAATTCTGTTTACATTTTATTTCTTTATTAGAATAGTAAAAGTATAGATAAGAGAATGGATTATGAGCCAGCTGCTCTAAAATCAGTGCCATCCTACAGAAGCTAATGCACATCCATATTCATACCACACAGATCATGCTCTCTGTGGTCCACAATGTGACATGGAGGTTCTGTCTGAGGATACCATAAAAGAAGCAGTCCTCACAAAGGGTTGATCATGTATTTTATTCCACTGATTGTATCTTTAATTGTTTAAAGCAGAAGAATCTGGAATTACACAGTCACATAATTGGATTTAAAAGGCACACAGTGTACAAATATTTATAAAATCAGTGTACAAAGTGGGTTGCATATAATTGCATTAAGTAGAAAAACAAATATACAGACCATAAAAATGGAGTCCCAAAGAGGAAGCTACTATTAAAGTGCTAACAAGAAAAGGATATTTATAGTTCATTACATGCAGTAAAAAGAGCCTTGTATTTTATTCCCGTGATGTCAAGAAACAACAAACATCACAGAACAAAAGTTAAATCAACACTTTGTCCTGCATTGACACCTACTACAAGGGTTTTTTTCACCATGTCATCTGAGATTGCTGTGACAGAATAGATGCCGGGAGAAACTTCGATATACAAGTCTTTGGAAGCTTGTCTGGTCTTAAAGAGAAAAAAAAAAAGTTTCATTACTGATTAGTTGTCCTAGATTTCCCACAAAAATAAAAATTTTTAATTTGGTTAAAATAATTACATTTCAGCTGCTATATAAAGTACTAAGATTTTTCAAAATCAGCATGGACAAACCCATGAAATGTTCCTGTCAGTACAAAAATTAACAAGTGCCATACTCAAAGTATTTCATCTAATGTTTCGATCTGTGGAAGTGATCACTGTGCTGTAATCTATGTCTCACAAAACTGAAAGTTAGCAACCTAGACAGTTTTGAACATAAACCCAGAAAACATTCCCTGTGACAAGGGTGCTCCCACTAATTTGTACTGTGGGACAAATTCTGTGTTTCCTGTCTATTGTGGCTTAGCAGTTCCTGAAATTGATTTGGTGAGGTGTTAGGCTTTTAGAAATAAAACCAGATTTCTTCTCCTTGAGGAACAGGAGTCTTCAGAGAGCCTGTATGAGGGCCAAGAGTAAATGGCTAAGCAACTGCTGTGTGCCTTGCTGCAAACTTTTCCTCAGGAGCACGAGTGAGGTGAGACTGGAGAAGTGCTGCCTTGCTGCTGCTGCTGTAATTCACAAAAGCCTAGAGCTTTATTGGTGTTTCACGTTCTGTACCAGTCTAACTGGTACAGACTCTTAACTGGTTATGTGCCAGAATGCCACAACCTGGCTTCTGATTAACTGTGCAACTCTCTGTGTGCCCATTTTCCTGCCTATACATGCGTTAGGATTGGGAACGCACCACTCGTTAATCTTCTGTGTCATCAAAGTCTCCACATCTGTCACAAGTTTTAACCAGCTTGATGCAAAATGATGATAAAGAAATGCTATAAAATACCTCCATTTAAAACCAAAGTATTCTATAAACTTACACGTTGCTGGCAAGTCTGAGCTCGACTGGGTGCTCTGGAAGCTTCAGACCTCTGGAAAGAAAAAGATACTGTTTTCTAATGATACAACACATCCAGCCCAAGTGAGGTGATGTGTCATGTACAGGAAATTTTCCCCTCCATGAAAGGACTGATATGACACTGGTTGGTGCCACCAGAAGTTACTCTGTCTCCCCTCCCACCCAACAGAAGGCTTAGATCAGTCCCAGTGTTCCTAAGTCCATACTGTCAACCTACATATATTAGTGTCTCACAGATGGATGGATAACAATTATCCCGTTGCAAGGGAAGGAATAACCTTAAATCAAAACCAAAAGTACCTACCTCTTCTTCCACCTCTCTTTCCTCTGCCTGCCTGCCATGGTATTTGCAGATGTGTTTAATTTCATGCTCTTTGCACCTCGGGGCTCCCACGAAGCTATAGTACTTCTGGACAACAGTAGAAACACAGAATATTATGTGGGGAGGTATCAAAGGCCATACTCACAGCTACTGCAGATTTACAACTGAAAGTGGAACTGCACAGCTACTGACTTCCTGTATTAATTGGCTGGTTTGTTCTCTTGTGAGGATGAAAACAATGCCTGGATGTCCACAGGACACCTGCCTTATGGTACAAGACTCTCAGCCCTGATTTTAGAAGCCTGTCTCCTGACACAATATGTAGGGAGGGACTCTGGCACCTCAGAACTGAACTCATGAAAATGTCAAAAGGAATACTCTGGAAATACCTTCCTGATCAGGCTCTTCAAGAAAAGCTCGGGTGGAAGAAGGCACAGTTTATGGGTCCTTAATAGGACATATATGCCAGCGAGGTGCTTTGCAACCTAGCCAGTGAAGGTTCATTCTGCAGGGCACATGCAAGAGCAGCACTCTAAAAGCAGAACATGTTAATACTGAAAACTGAGTCAGTAAAGAACCTAAAGTGTTTTCAAGGCTGGTACCAGTAGCACAGCAGTTTTGAGAACTGTATTTAAGTCCACAGCAGCCCTCTTCTGGTTCAGCTGCAAAGGTACTGGAACCTTCCCCACTGCAAATTAAATATTAGAGTACAGCTCTGCTGCCATCTGTTGTCACAAGAGAACTCCTCCCAGGGTTACCTTTTTGATCACAGGGACCAAAAAGTTCCAAAATATCTATTTTATTTCACTTATGTTTTCCTTGACCTTCGCTGTCAGGACTAAACATAACAAAAATAAGGCCAATAGCAATTCTTATTTCCAGATCTACTGCTATGCTTTATTCCTTGAGAAATTAAATCAAACTTTTGGTGAGTAATGAGGGTAAACTTTGGTCCCTTAGTAACTCCAAACAACTCAGCTTAAATCCCAGTTCTAATTGTTTGCCTTTAAGTGGCTAAATGGTTATGTTCAGCTGGGGATTTTTATTTGTGCTTTTTAAGCTTTATCCATGAACTTACAGGTCTGACAATTCTCCCTTTTTATGACTCCTCTACAGAAATGACTGAAGCAGTACTGTCTTGGCTGATGCATAAGTGTGGAAATCATTCACTGCTTTTCCAACTCTAATACTGTTAACAGGCCATAAGGTAGACCCATAGAATAATATAGGTTGGAAAACACCCTGAAGATCATACAGTCCAACCATAAACTTAGCACTGCCAATTCCACCGCTAAGGATGAATCTCTATACACTTGTATTTTTGTTTCATCTTGTGTAAAACTCTATTCTGCCTGAGTTGTTTTCAGGATTAACTGGTTACTGTGTATGTAGTGCTTTCCAATGATAGAAGAGTTGCTTAAGATCTAATCATTTGGTGTGATGAAGTACCGTTTTCTCTAATGTAATTGCAGACTTAGCCTGTGTTATTAACTCTGCAGACAACGAGCTCCCTGCTGTGTTGTAACAGCTCCTGAGGGGCACAGCCGCTGTGAATTGCGGTGGAGTTCACAGAGACTTCAGTGCAGCAGCTGGGCTGCAGGGCTGCGTTCACAAGGATGAGCTGGCAGAGGTTGGCTCCTGGTCCATCCACCCCATAAGGCAATGACACCTGGCAGCCAAAGCCAGCATGAAAGCAGTGGAGCTGTGCATCTGTAAGCCATACTCCTCCATTTCTACTTATCACAAAGATACGGTGCTGCTGAGAACTGAGCCCACAGTCCTCATCCAGTGGCAACATCCCAGATCAAGTTCAACCTGGTTTCATCTGGGAATGGAGTTGGTTTTCTTCCTAGTAGCTGGTACAGTAGCTGTATTTTGGATTTGGTACAAGTATAATGTTGATAACAAACTGATGTTTTGGTTGTTGAATGGTGCTTACCCTAAGTCAAGGACTTTTCAGTGTCTCATGCTCTGCCAGCGGGGAGGTGCACAAAAAGATGGGAGGGAGCCTAGCCAGGACAGCTGACCCAAACTTGCCAGAAGGATATTCTATACCATGGACTGTCACGCTTAGTATAAACTGGGAGAGTTGGCTGAGGAGGGCTGACTGCTGTTTGGGCTGGGCATTGGTGGTGAGCAACTGTATTGTGCATCCCTTGTTCTTCTTGGGTTTTATTTGTCTCTCTCCTTTTCATTACAATTATTATTGTTATTATCATTACTATTATTGTATTTTACTTTGTTTCAATTATTAAACTGTTCTTCTCTCAACCCACGAGTTTTATTTTCTCCTGATTCTCCTCCCATCCCACCAGGGTAGGGGGGCAGGGAAGGGAGTGACCTGTATGGTACTTAGTTGCTGACTGGGGTTAAATCACAATACTGGGGAGGTTAACTCTAAATTCAGAGCAAAAGCATGACACAAAACAAACTCTTTGCTCTGCTCGAGAGTCAAACTCTCCCTTACTTCCACTACCCAGAACACAGTCAGCCAGCATGAGTGGTTCACATTGGCTTGATGGAAACAAAGGGTTACTATGTCATAAAGCCACTCTACAGCAGAGATACTTTGGAGCACTGGAAACACTCCATATATTGTGACACAAAAGCCTGCGCAGGGGCCGACACAATGTAATTTGTGATGTCACCTGACATTTCTGCCTCTCTGACTGTAATGCCTTTTCACCAAGAAATGGAGAAACCCTCTGCTAAAATCTGCACCGGGCTGCTGGTACTGTCCATGGAAAATGCTGACAGTGGTGTTTATCAGCTTAAGTGCGATAACACCGGTGAAACCTGCCGTGTACCCTGCTACCACATGATGGTGAATGCCCCAAATGTCTTCATCTAGGCCGGCGTCAGAGGCTCACTGGCTGAACTCTTTCCATGCAATGAGTGAAAGTGAAGTCTAATTTTTTCAGTAAAAGTGGTGCCTGCCGGGCACATCATAAACATTCCCCTCTGCACGGGTCTGGGGGCGAAACCTCACCTCGCATTCCCTTGAGGCTTTACCCATCAGCTTCACGATCGAATCGAAGGCTGCACTGAGGCGCTCGGCTTCTTCCTCCTGCAATTAAAGACATTCTCTGTAACCCAGCGCGGTGCTCGTTGCTTAGAGGCAGAAAGTGATTAAACAGCGAACCCTCCAGGCTGTCCCTGGGGTGGCACAGTCCCGGGTGGCCCAGCGCTGCCCCGCCGGTTCCAAAGGAAGATAAAACGCGGGGAAGGGGGGTAGGAAGTGACAAGGCGTATTTCAGGACGCTCGTTAAGGCTCGCACGTATAC